TTAGTCTGTAGAATATTGGGAGCAGTAGTGTAAGTCCTTGGACGAGAATCAAACCATCACAAGGAAAACCCATAAAACGCAAACATTCGAGCTCTGAACGGGTTTCGAATTCATGATTACGTATTTTGGGGTCTTTGCGTGAGACCAGCTACAAAACTTGAGGAGTTTATGATGGTACTGAAAGGAGATAAACATTTCTGAAAAGAAAAGAAAACTTTCCTGAAAAGCGAAACGGTCCTTGTAAGTATAGGCTTACTATTCTGTTCGCTGCACATTCATTGGTTATTTTCGAGAACATGAGAACCGACAGGTGAAAGAGTAAAAGAACCGGAGATGGGATTTTAGCTTGTAATTCCACTAATCTCTTGAAACCCATTCCTCCTGCCAGGCTATGAGTGTCGGCTCCATGCCCTATTTAACTGTTTCAGTTATTTATTACGTTAGTCCTGTATAATTCGTACTATGATTAGCTTCTTCCTTTCTTGATAGACTCAAGGCCTTTTTTATCTGCAAGACTGATATCGCTTTTAATAGATTTGAATTAAGAAATTATAATACCGCATTTCCTCCGCTTTAAGACGTCATCTATTGTATGTAAGAATCATCTTTGATTTAGTAACAGATTTTCAGGAAAAAATACGCTATATCGATTTTTAGGCGTCATAAAATGTAAGACACACCCCGATTTCAGAAATTTAAAAATGTGGGAAAGTGCATCTTAAAATCTAGGAAATACGGTATTATTCATCTATTCATTTTCGATATGCACCAACATTTTTAATTGATTTGCAAGCAATAAACGTGATATTTGCATTACATAAAACCATTATATCGCTATCGTATTCTTTATGTTGTCCTGCAGTTGTTAAGATGCCACAGCCTTTTTCACAATGCATAAAGTGATCAATGTTAACCGCTGTTTCGCAGAACGAATGAAGAAAGATAATGGATTTAAGAACATAAAAGATGAACAGAAGGGGGAAAGATTATGATAGGCTGGAAAGAAGCTTGATTCTAAGGCGAAGGCCTCACGTCGTCTAAACCATACAGACAAGAAAACTAATATAATCTTAGAATTAGCTCAATTTAAGGCGTTGTAGAGTCTTTGTACACCCTTAGATTATTTTCGTTGTGCCGATATATAGTTTTGTAACACACCCAACAGTTTAAGCTCCTTATATAAATTTTATTTTGTAAACTGACGTCTAAATCTTAATTAAAGTAACAAGCAGTCACGCCGAATTATTTTGTTTGAAAACGTTTGACTTAAATCATTTTAGAATTAAGTGATTTGTTTGGAAACAAAATAATTGCCCTACGTATTTTCCGAGAAGATGATAAGAAAGCTTTGTAACAAAACTGTAATGTAGTGAAGCAATACGAACTGAATTTGTGTGGTCACACGCCTCCACATCTGACGGCGATAATGAATAAAAACTTCACGCTCTGGCAATTGCCAGTGGATATTCATAATATTTTCTTTGCGACCAATTTAATTGAGTGATTTTATAGTTTTAACAAGAGAACACGAATTCCTGGTGTTCCAGAACCAAATGATCAGGATAACATACCGAAATGAATGTAACAAGGAGTTTTATAACTGTACTATTCACGTAATATTGTTAGGACGATTAAATCAACTCGTAAGATGGACGAGATAAAAATCATGAGGTGATTCGGGTGAGACAGGCGTGTTAGAATGGATCTTCGAGAGGTGGACTGTGAAAATGTGAATTGGATTGTACACTTTAAGGATCGAGGTCTATAGCGAGGTTGTGTGATGACTTTGAACTTCAGGATTTAATAAGAGAAGAAATCGCTTGTTCATTTCAATAACCATCTTAACCGTCCTTAAAGAATGTCGTAAGAAGTAACTTGAATAGTTCATAGTATCCTTTTCCAGGGAGAGTTCGGTGCTTTTGTAACTCTGCTAAAGCTCCAGTACACGTATCTTAGACCCAGTTGACTGATATTGTTTATCCAAGGTGAAGCTTTTACGATCTTCTGAAAAGTCCACTTTTATGGTGTGTCAGGAAAGAATTATGTGTCGGCTTAAGGGCAAACTGCATGCTGTGCGGTTCCTTTCCTGGGATGCTGTTTGCAGCAGTACACCTACCATTTTATGATCTTATCATCACATTTTAACCAGTAAATAGTTTTGTTCCTATCAGTATGAATTATCGCCGGTTATTCGTATATTGACATATCTTAGATAAAATTTTATCCGTTTTCTCTTTTCTGGACTGGTTTATGGTCGGTCGAAACATGTTTCATAGTGAAAAAGCTGTGTTAATCGCTTTTCATTTATTTCGCAAACTTTAACGTATAAAACGATTATTGTAAATACCTGATATAAGAAACAATAATTAAACAAATCTTCGGCTAAAGAGTGTGTTTATAAGGTGATCATAATGAATTAATATTTTACGTGTTTCGTGCGAAGAATACATTGTTAAAAATCAAACTCTGTATTGTGTATAAGACAAAGTATTCGTTTATATCCGTTACTGATTAATGTTGAATACGGATTGCAGTTTGATTAGACAAATGTTTTGTAAGGCCAGATATCAACACAAAATGAACTAACGTAAATTACTTTTGTGTTTACATGAGCTTTGCGTTTGCTGGTGGTGAAGGAATGGGCATTGCACGGCCCCGTGCGAATAAGGCAAACAAACAAATATTTGTTATTACTCAGACGCTCATTCCTTTATTAACTGGATACTACAAACACTGCACGTGGGCTAATTTTTTAGAATATAAAATAACCACGAACCGGAAGCATGAATTTTATAGTTAGCTTTGGTCTGACGACGTGGCCAGAGTGCGAAACTTAAAGGTCATATCAGACAAATTTGAGTTCTGCAGAATATTTGCCACAGAATACAATACATACTAATGCAATTCTTTATTTTAACTTGACTCAACAGCTACAGAAGCCAGTTATAGAGGTAGCACGTGAGGACAGAATCAATATGAAGTACAGAAAACATCATAAAAATGGAAACAAATATAAAATAAATACACATAATTAGTCTAAACACTAGATGATGATTCATTAATAAACAAATTGTAAAAAGGCTATATAATTATGCTACACAATTTAATTCATTCATTTAATTGCTTGACAACAGCCAAATAAAGCCAATAACAGCCAAGAACTAAACCAGAGTACAGGATAAGCTATAATAAATAATTAAATTCATTTCAATGATACTAAACTAAAACATTATAAATAATAATAATAATCTGTAACTTATTGCGAATTGAAATGCAACAGAAGAGCAGAATGACCAAAATTAACGTTTAATGTTTGCGACAAAGTATTCCTTAGTGGCAGTAATAGTGACACTACGTAAATTGGATTTCAGTGAGCAACAATTCTTTCTTGTGAATAAGATGCTAACGCCATCATCAGACTTAATCAGAACAGCCAGATGCAAGATGTAAAGAAGGCGCGTAGAAACTGCCTGCGTACACTATTACACTGCTTTTCTAATTTCTGTTAGGCCTATATTTCTGAGATAAATTCTACAAAAGCATGATACTGTATGGACCTGCATTAAATCCTGCCTGAAAGTGAACCTGAATTAGGCCGAAATATATTCATAAGCTAAGGTTTTATATTTTAAAGGTCGATCCTGCTGTGTTAAAATTTAGTACAGTAGTTTAACATCGAGGACAACCAAAACACGGAGTTATGCAAACAGGCTTTTAAAATAATGAGATTTGTAATGCTAATAAAATCTCCTCGTCCGTAATTCCACACCTTCTTAAGCTTTTACGCTATTCCTGAAAATTCTGGAACGAACCGGTGACTACGTAATAATGCGCTGGTGAACTGAGGTTGTGTCGATACTTGTTCGTGTCAGATTGAGTAAGGCCCAGGAAGAGACACGCGAAATTGTTACCCATTTTTGTGGCGTATCGAAAGGAATAGATCTATTCTCCTTTTCAGTATACATACTTTCTGTTTGCGTTGTTTGCTATTTTACATCCATCATTTGACTGAATACCTAATTTCTTATAGGATTTGAAGCTTTCTAGGCGAGTACAATCAATAAAATCTTCTCGGGCAATCAGCCGCGTTAACTGCCTTCTGCGACTTCCGAGGTATCCAGTCACATCAGAACCCTGATGATGCGGACAGAGTTGGTTCGCGAATGTCGGTTTATTACGGTAACCAGTTAACGCGGCTGATTTCCCGAGAAGATTTTATTGACCTAATTTCTTATTGTCGAGAATTAAAATATATGACTGACAAAGATAAACTAAATCACAGATATTGACTGATTATAAACTTAACAACATTACAACGTTAAAAAGACCTATATTGTGTTTTCCCTTGTATTTCGTTAAATAGAACTTCTGCATGGTCTTCGGACTCAGAAACTGTTCGGAGGAAAAACATGGACGTAAACCTTAATCTTATATAATTAGGTGGGTATCGATAATTTTTATTTTAATAAAAGGGCCATACGCGAAAGATGACATTAAGTTCATTTCTGCTGTTTCACGACGTGCTGTATATTGTTTCACTAAATTAGAACGAGGCATACACAAAAGGACTAAATAATTTGCAGCTTCCTGACATGTTACGTTATTTGGCGGGTCTGAATTGGTTCGGTTATAATTTATGCATCAGGCATGTACTTGGGATATATGAGGTCTGAGTCTCAGGCTACTGTTTCAGAACACATCAAATCGAAAAAAAAAATGGGCAAAGAAAATGGATGTAATCTGAGGCATCAAAAGATAGAGGAAATAAGCTGTTCTGAAACGTCAATATCTACATGATGCTACATCCCTGAGGACAACCATTCTCATATATAATATTTACAAATTCAGCTCTTACTTCGAAGATAACAACACTTTTGAGTTAAATATTTTAGTTGGGTAAGACTGCTCAGGGGAAGAATGCCTATATGTTCACAAAATAGTACAAACCCCACAACGGGAATATTGTAGACAATGAAAGGTAACATTTTTATTCTTTGCAGGCGATCACGTATCGGTTGCTCAAATAGAACATGACCAACTGGATGCTGGCTATGGAGAAAAAGGTGCTCGCAGCTTGAAGCTAACCATCCAGTGAAGTTTTCCTTCAACTCTTTAGGTAGGCCTATACGGTTTCATGACGTAGTTCTTATACACATATAATAATAATGCCCAAATAGGTAAACTCAATTGTATTAAAGTAAAAAGAAGTTTTGAGAAGAAATTATGAAGCCTATTTGCTTCAAATGCTACATCAAGATAGTGAGTCTATAAATAGCCATAAAATAGTGATTTTATAATTTATCAGTTTTATTTATAATTTACACTAGTAGGCGTAGATTCCATCTGCATTAAATTTATTCGGCATAACCTCAAAGTTTTGCGTTGTAATATCAATATGCAGGAAAGGTCACGTTCTGCCATTGTAAAATAATCTCAAGACATTAGCTCCAACTTTTTATTAATATGACGATCAAATTTTAAACTAAGTATAAATTTCGGGCAGCCGTCAAGTTTTAAGTTTTTGATTCGCATGTTGGGGGGGGGGGCAGCGAGGGACAAAAAAAGAAATAAATGTTCAACAGAAGTTGCATAATCTTCGAAGATATTTATCCACATTTCAGGTCTGTACGTTAAGCGTCGCTCCCAACACAGAAGTTATTGCAGCTTATATGTTTCTAACGGCAGAATATTAAAAACCATAAAGATGAGGTGATCTCCAGTGCATAATAGTGATACAACATTTTGTTAAAATATGTCAGTTGGTTCAGAAGTTACATGGAGTTGTGCGTCAGACACGCCGCGAAGTAATCGCACCATAAGCTTACGGTTTCTTTTAAAACGAGGAAAATATAGGAATCAAGAATTAAACTGCACTTTGGAGCTATCCTTTCCTGAAATCAGTGCTAATAGCTTTAGAACTGAGCCATTGCTTCCTCGTTCCAGCACTTTATCAAACGGGCACCGAGTGTATCTATCGGGCGTCACGTAGTGCACATTACAGACTGAGAGATGAGTGTGTTGGCTGCGTAAGGATATATGTGACGTTTGGCGTCAGAAAAACACTAACACACCTCAGTGTTCACTAAAGTTGTTTGGTCCAAATTTATTAGCACCGTGGTGAATTGATTGTTCTATTTTCTGTTTTCTGTTGTGTACGTACGTATTATTATGCCTGTGCGATATTTCTCTTCCTTCGTATTTTTGGGGTTTTCCCCACTTTTAGATTTCACGTTCTAAAGCTGCACGATTATCTGTATTTCCCCTTATCTTCCCTTCCCGTGGTTTTTAAATGTTACGCCAATACCATGTTTTTGTTCTTCCCATTGCAAATATTTAGTTTATGTCCAGCAGTTTTAAAAATTAAGGTATACTGTTTCTTGGCCGTTCCATGGATCGGGTATTTATAGTAACCGCCACAAAATTGCATACTTCAAGGTCACAACAAAATCGTAAGAAGTTGCAACGAACAGCGGAGGCCAGGCGAGTGAGGGCAGCTCAGAACTCGCAACATAGCAAAGCTAGCAACGCTGTGCTGGTGACACAGAGCCGTGCGAAAGAGGTTTTGAAGTCCTTTCATGGCTTTGAAGCATCCAATTCGGTGACGGCTACTTTAGAATTTGGCCTGTCATCGCGGAAACCCAGGTTTACTTCTGGTGACTTCCGGTTTTTACTTGATACAAGTTTTTGGATAGCCACGACTTTTTACTTCCGCTTTCTTCGCGTTTAATTATTCCCAAACATCCCTTCCTTCGACCCTATACAATTTACAGTAAAACACGAGTCGTCGTGTTAATTAAGAACTAACACTTCAGTAACCTTTCATATAATCTGTGACACGAAGAAACTAATTCCGTAATGCACTCAGATTTTAATCGCTTTTAGATAAATTGTAAGTAAACACACGTTGACTAACAGTACCTTCCCGTAAGGCACTATTTCGTGTTGACTGTGGGCCATCTCTCAAGCGTTTACATCTCCCTAATGAGTTTTCCTTCACGGAATGAAATTTCTAATATTGAATCGAAATGGGGATGTTTCCTCGTTCTTACTGCGGGGATTTCTAAGTTTATTTTATTTTACACAGTTCTACTTGCGGCGAAGCGCAAACCAATCGTTCTGCTTTTCTGCCCTTATGGGTGAAGTCACCATTGGTTTTTCGACAGCGGCTTATTCATTACGTTATGCTGTCTGTACTACACACAGCAGCTGGACTTATCACACACAAATTATAGATGCACGTTGTTTTAACTCAGTGGGTGAAAATAGAAATAACAACATAACAGCCTACAGATTATTTTGCAATTTTAAAAAAAAGGAATTCACCCATATTGCAGAGTCTACTTGAAACCGCATAGTCGCTGGTCTGATCAATTCCCTGCCTCTTTGGAACCTGAAGGTTTATTATCATGGTCACAGGAGCCAGCCTCTGGACTCAGTACTGAGCCAGTTTAATCCAGTCATGCCAGTGAATTAGTTAAAGTCTGAAGCCTTGTGTAATATTCTGTAATATTTTATTCTTTAATTACGTATTTTGTTATTCTTTAGCTAAGATGGCCTAGGCTGCATGTATATTTCGATTCAGATCTAATTTGATTTTTTTAAATTAATAATTCTTCATTTTTGTTGCTAATTAAAATATTCTATAGGCCCCATTTTATTGTTTTCGCATTACCAATTATCTTTCTGTAATATCGGACTCTGGTGAGCAGTTGGCAAGCCATGTCCGATAGCTTGACTGCAGTTATCCGTAACTGCCAATAAAAGGAAAAGAAAGTGAACTGTAACCAGAGGTACGTGACGAATCCTAAGAAACCAATTCAGAGTACTTGACCATATCCTTGAGGTGTTAATCTTAAAATGTTTGCAGCTTTGAGTGCTGTACACAACGAAAAGGCAACAAAAGCAATCCAAACTTTGCGGTGAACAGGTTAGATGCTGTGTCCGTGTTCGAATCTGGACACGGAGATACAATTTTCCTGGGTTTCATACTTTTCTTAGTCACTTAAAAGAAATTTTGGATATTTTAACCCTTTGAAGCCTGAAGAGAGAGAATTAGGAAGAGCAGACAGGTAGAAGCACGGAGAAAAGTTACGGGGGAGAAGTGAAAGACACTTTTATCTAGGAGGAAAAAATAAAAAAAATGTTTCCCAGGCTTTGCCAGCTCGTCCGTCTGATAAGGATGGAATGAGAGTTAAGAAGTTACGGTTGTAAGTAGTGAAAGCTTGGTGATACAGACGGCGGAATTGTTATTTTTAATGAATGAGTGTTGAAATTATAATTTGGAAACGATTAACAGTTCATTTAAAATTTCGGTCTCCACCTCAAAGAAAACACAAGAATTAATGCTGTTTACGGAGATAATCGGTGCTGTTGAAAAATCATACGAAAGGCTTAAATACACATATTGTGCAAAATGCAAGGATATTGAATGTTAATGTAGGCCGGTGTATTTCATAGGGTTGAAACACACACTGTTACAGATTCCGCTATGATTAGTCATGTGATTTCTTGCTAGCCTATATGAAAATCAGCTGAAACAGATTTGATGCGAATATGTGAAAGGATGTATCGAGACTGGACAGTGGTTCTGATTCTGTCGAGTTTTGTAATTAGGAAGCTGATTATTGTGCATATTATTGATAAATGTTTATGTTTACCAGGGAGTCGTGAAGGATATCGGGCAAAGAAGGGCTAGTAGCCACAAATGAGAAGTTTCGAACTCCAAGTTCCTGTGGGTTGTTTCTTTTTAAAAGAAAATGAGCTTTGTATGTGTATTCTTGTGCTGTAGAAAGGACGTAGATGGATAGATAATATAAAAATTAATCTTGAAGGCAAACAGGATATGAAGGTGTGGGCTGCATTCACCTGGATAATGGGTTCCTGTGAACACGGTATTGAAACTTCAGTATAAAAGGTAGGGTAATTTTTCTGTACCATCTGAGCGGTGTCAGCTTCTCAAGAACGTCCCTGGTCCATGGATTCACCTGCGCTAGGACTAAAGCTTTTTTTTCATGAATCTTCAGCGGTTCTCTGTTTAATATTGATTAACACGTGGTAGAAATTTGCAATACAGGAATATCAAGTACCTCATACTCCTGTGTATGCTGTAGTGGCAAGTAAGATAACTTTGTACGATACTTCGCTGGGTTGGTGATTAATCTACATGCACATTTTTTATTCTGAGCATTTCTTGGTTGGTCCTGGGCGTTGTAACTAGTATCGAAAATAAAAACAAAATATATTTTAATCAGTCACCTGTAGACGGAACTGGAACAAACTTCCGAAATGTCGTTTGTGTTAAATATACCGAAGACATGGGCAGTATATATATATATATGACTGGTATGGGAAACCCTTAGCCCGTGTGGTTTTACATATTTTTGAAGCTGACTTATCCTCGATTTCAGACTTAATTTTCTCGGCTGCTGGCAGAAATTTATAGTACTTGATAAGTGATACGGTCGTGGAAACGATGAGAAAATTAGATCGGGAACGAGTCTATTTAGACGTTGCCCATGCCTAGTATATGACGTAAATGTTGTGCTGTAGAATCTGAATGATTACGTCTTTTTTTAAATACATCATTTACTTTCGTGATTATGTACGTATAACTCTGTTACGTGTCACCGTCTTTCGGGATGTACGAGGTTCGAACACGAGATTAATTTCTTACAATTCAGAATATCATATTCCACGCTTTTGCTGAATTATTTCCCATTGGTTAGTTTACAAATTCGCAAGCAACATCATGATTTAGTTTTATCTCATTCGCGGACTAGATCCAAAATGTGAATACCTTAAAGTCAACTACTACACCACAACCTGTTTTGGCATTCCTTTATAATTTATCATACATAATCACACCCTTTTATTCAGTTTGCATCACATTACAGTTAATGTAGCGTTATTAAATAAGCCACTGGAAAATTCAGACTTTGTTAAACGTGGTGTAATATTATTTGCGTTGGCAGAATTGGACTTCATAATGTAATCAGTGTTTCGGATTAACAAATTATAATTAGTTTAATGGATGAGATGTTTTTATTCTGCGGTCACAGCTTATAACAAAATGCATAATAGCACTCTGGCTGTATTTTGACCTGAAACCAAACATAG